ATAAAATCTAGACGCTGTTATTTATTTATATTTAGGTGGTTTTTAATGGGACTGTTATATAAAGTGCAGATTTAAAAATTATGTGTCTAATTTTATTTTCCTAGAGCCTATGTAAAGCTACTTATGTACACGGAGTAATTTTAGTGAATGATTCCATTGGATGCAAATCCAGTTTTTCCAGACTTGTAAATCCATCTCCTTCTGAAAAGTTTCACTTCAAATGTGAATGCAGAGATTTATTATAGAGAGGTAAAGTAATTAAGACAATTCCAGCTGCATCTGATGGAGTGCCTTTTACAGTGCCTATTACAATACTGACTTCAAGTTTTGGAAAGGATCAAGATTTTTGATCCTTCCAAGCAAATATTGGTTGCACCAGTGCTCTGGGCCCACAGAGGTTGATGGTTGTTTCTGCACGTGATGATGTCTGCAGTGTTTAGAGGAAGGCAGTATGCAGGTTAGCTGCCTTTGAAAGCTCAGTATTTTCATACCTTTTTTTTCCCCTACTCTTTAAAGCAAAAGTAAGGGGAGAGTGTTCTCGATGGGGGTAAGCAAGGTACACCTATGCTACAGTTGCAGTTTTGACTGAAGCAGGTAGATGTACCTGAATTAGTTTTAGATTAACTATTATGCCACATGGATGGGAGCTTTTGACTTCCCTTGGAATCACAGGTGAGCTTCTGCAGCTTAAATGTCTGTCTTGATGGATGATGCCCTAATACTATTGGTAGTGGCATGAATCTAAATAAGGTTGTTATCAAGTTCTAGCAGTTACAGGGGGAATATAACCATGTCCTTTTAGTATTTGTCTTTTGTCCTATTTAGTAGCACTGAGCCAGGTCCAAGGCTGACTCTTCTCTGCCCCTGTAAAGAGAGAACAGTCCTATGTATGGACCTAGTGAGGTTGGTAGATCCTGGTAGAAGAGGCAAAGGAAGCCTGAAGAGGTCTGCTTTCAGCTTGTGCCCTACCTTCACCTGCAGGATGAACTTTCTTATGGGCAAGGAGATCAGATGAATTTGGCAGCAGCTCCCACTTGTTGCCACCAAAACCTCGCCGTCTAGCAAAATCGCTGTCTAATAGATCAGAAGGGGCAGTCTGTGTCCTAGGAGAAGCTGGATGAGGGGGAAGCTGAGTCTAGGCAGGCAGTCTTGTGCCCAGGGAGAGTAAGGCTCAGTCTTCCAGCACCACTTCATGCCTGTGTACTCTACGAGGGGATGAAGTCCCCAAAATACTGGTCCCGTGTTGCCAGCACAATCATCCTGACAGGGCAGTTGGTGTTCAGTGAAGGAAGGGAGGGAGAAGTGGTGTCATCCACAGTCTCACAGCCCTCCCAGTCCTCACTTTCAAAAGGTTGTGTCATACTATCATGCCATGTTGCTGTTGACACAGTGAAATGCTGTTAAAACAGCTGCTAGAATAAAACCACTGAAATTCCTGGGACATCTCCCATGCCCATAGCAGTTGGAAGAGTATCTGCATGATCATGGCCAAGATGGTAAACAAAAATCCCCCAAACAGCTGCTCTTCTTCTTCCATATGATTGTTTTAACCAAACACAGCCCAAGATACGTGCTGTTCTAAATCTATTTTGTTGTGAAATAAAGCTACTAACTTTTTTTCTCTTTTGTTAATTAATGATAAGTCTTATTGTGGAATAATAAGTGTTACAGCTGGACAAAGTCTAGATTGCTAAAACATATAGCTGCAGCAGTGCAAACCTTCACAGTGCTGGCTTTTCCAGTGTTTGTGATTTCATATACAGCAGCTGCTCATCTGACAGGGAAACTGAGGTTGGTGACAACATTTTCCATTTTACTCTGAAACCATCCTGATTCTGTTGTAATCACAATATCTATCCCTACAAAGACTAAAGGTGAAAAAATTGGAGAGAGGAGAAATGGAAAGGAAATCAGCAGGGTTCCACACTTGTTCAGTGCCCTCACTCAGCCTAAGCCTTTGCTATTCCTGCCATTTCTGAGATTTGGGCAACCTGTTTCATGGAATGGTAGGAACAATAATGTTTTGCTGTTATCTGTGATGAGAAACTTTTGTCTTTGCTGTTATAAACTCAGGTTAAATTTAAAAATCAAGAAAAGACAATTTAATTTTTTTTTTTTTTCCTGGAGAAAGTCCAGGTTGTTTAGCACAGCTGCCCTGCCTGTGTGTGAGGCTGTGGCTGTGCATTATAAGCTAGTGCAACAGACCCACAGATGACAGGCACACATCAGGCCCTGGTTTCAGAGCACTCTCAGGGGCCTTTGATCATTATATGCCACTATATCACAAGTTTCACTGCAGGAATATTATCATATCATCTTCATTTTCAAGGCAAAAGGGTGTGTTAGTGCCACCTTCCCTGCCAGGTGGGTCCGACGCATGGATCCCATCTTTGGTCTGACGCATGTCCCCGTACATCAATCACTCACTGGAATGAAATGGTATTTGGGTTAGCTGGCTGAGCAGGGTGGCTGGAGGAGGTAAAGAGCTGGAGCACTGCTGACACTGGAGCTGCTGGTGCGGGAGGAATCTAGCACTCAGGTTACAGCAGCTCATCAGCTGCGAACCCTCCGGCTTTGCTGCTCCAGTCATTCCACAACAGCAAAACAGTCTTGAGAGCTCTGATTGCTCTCAGCCTGCTCTCACTAGGGATCTGTCTGCTGGAGCAGGGTAGGATGTCTCATGGTGGCTTTAAATCAGCTACTGAGCATAGGATGGCAGGAGTTCAGTACGAGCTACACAACCCATCCAGAACTGCACTGCCCTGAGCTCTGGGTGGCTGAGGTCACCCCCAGCTAACCAGCCCAGCAAGGAAATGCCAGTCTACCAGCCCAGTCACAGCTGAAGCCATAAACTGCAGAGTAACATACCTTAGACTGGCCTAAGAGGAACAACTGGAGATGCCTCTTGGAGTGAGAAGTGTGGCTGGGGATGCACAAGTGGGATGTCCCCAGGGAGGCTCAGCCACTGGCAGGAGTAGCCAAAATTCAAGCATCGACTCCTGTGGCAGGTTGGGAAGTGAGATGATGGAGGTGAGATTTTAACATCAGTTCTCAGGACTCACTGCCGAGCATATAAAATCCTCAAAATGTCTTGATATACAGGCAAAAAAGCCTATTCAATTTAAAATGCTTTAAAAAGTAGAACAGGTTAATGGGAAAGAGGAGAGTGAGTCTGCAGGAACAGCACAGTGGCCATGTGGAGACTTCTCTGTAAGTGCAAAGTGCTGCCAAACACAGCATATCTAGAGAGACCTTAACAAAAAATAAAGAGGAAAATCCCAGTGCAGCTATTTTATTCTATTTTATTTTTCTTAGATGACACATGTCTACTGATGTTGCTTTGGGACAGCATTGAAGAAATCCTCATCTTGAATGTAGAAAGCCCAGGATGCCCCAGTGGCTGTAGTTACAGGCACTTGATGCCTTGTCTACTTACAGTGTCTGAAAGTGAGGTGCTAAGGAATTTCTGGGGGGTACAGGCACTGATTTTCCATTACTCTGCATGTGAAATCTCTGAAGTGATGTTGGTAAATCAGTACTTTTAAGTAAATTGATGCATTGCCTTCTTGATACTCGGTGCTGGTGCACGAGGGGACAGGCAGTGTTGCCTACAGGCTTTAGCAAGGGTTGTGTTCAGTCTCATCCTTGATCCTGGATGGTCAGGATGAGTCCCTTCTCCATGCCAGGCCAGTACCAGAGCCTGCTCTCCACAGGCCTCTCTCCTGTACCCTGGTTTTGTGGGCAGGATACTCAGATCTGCAGCCCAGAAGGGAGCAGTGATGTATTCTGGTCCAGCCCCAGCCTGGAGTCCTCTGGCAGTGTCCAGGCTCTGCTTCCCCTTCTGCACTGCTTTGACAAATACAAGTCTAAATGAAGGTGGTGTGTGAATTGCTATGATGTGCCTTATCTGGCCATTTTTTATTAAACAGGATATTTACTGTTGTTTGCCATCTTTCTGATTTCACCTCAGTCCAAGCATCCATTACATTTTTCCTAATTTACACTGTTAGAAATATTTTAAAATTGGCCTCTATGTATTTATTTCAGTATTTTTTTAAGACTGTTTGCTGTGAGGTATCTTTCAGACTCTTCCCCCTGCAACAAAATGTTAGCACCTAAATGTACTTTTCATCAGTTATTCTATTTATATTCTGAATGTCACTCAATGTAGCCAACAGAGAAGGACAGATAGATTCTGTATATTGATTGTACATTCTTACTTCATGACAGTGATGTAGTGTGAGGGTTACAGAATTCACAAAGAGATATACTTGTAGTCAACTTTTTGATGGGATGTAGTTTTATTGAAAGGCATCTTTTCACCAACCCATCCTTTATAAAGACCAGCTACGTGCCTTTCACCAGGGAATATGTTTGTTGCCTGATTGAGAGCTAGTCTAAAAAAGGAAGAAAAATATTGTGTTAGTTTATTTCTTCCTTAAGCTGCATGAAAAAAAAGCACTGGAATATTTCTTTGCATTTAACAGTAAGTTTTTATTACATTAAAATATCCATTTTTCTGTGCTCTGGAAATTCTGTGTATGACTGAGAATGGCTGGCTGGACATCATCATAGATGATTAACTTTAAAAGGGAGTTATTTTCATGCAGACTATTCAATTGTGTCTCTGAAGCCAAGCACCCATTTGACTCAGATCCTAATGAAGAAAAGTGCCTGCTAGAAAGATACAACAACATCCTGCTCCTTTATGTGTGGCCAGAGCTGCTCTGAGCTCAGATGACTACATTGAAGAATCAGAGGTGCTCGCCATCAAAAATTTGAATGACTTTGTGCATAGAACCATTCCAAAAGGAAGAGCCAAAGAGAGGCAGATGATGCTTTTAACAACTCAGTTTTGTCCTCTCTAGGTTACTGGCCCAGGCAATATTTTTCTCCTGCTATTGTCCTCATGGATTTCAATATGCAAGGGAGAAGAAAGGCTCAAAATACACTGTTGAATCTAACTTCTCTGTGTGTTATTTGCTTACTTATTTAACTAGGGACAGGGGGCCCTGTCTGAGAGACTAAGGAGCTTTAGCATGCAGGATCTCTCGACGATTCGTGGAGACAGCAGCAGCACTGTTCCTCCTTCGGTCACTGTACGGGCAAGCAGCAAACAGAGCCAGCCAAAAACAGCCAGAAGTGCATCGGAAGGCACTGGCAGCTCAGGTAAGTGCCAGTGTTATTTTCAGTGTTGTGTTGTCTGGAATATCACACAGCTGAATGAGGTCATGCAGTTGGCAGCAATATATAGCAACAGACCCCTCAGGCAGCACATACCAGAGTTCACAGGACACAGACCTGCTGTTGAGTCTCTTGACACTTGAGAAAACAGGATCACTGTTTGATGGTTCCTATTCCTGGTTGAGACCAAGAATGGGACTTGTGCATGCAATGCAGCCAGCATCAGTTCTTGCAGCTCGAGTTGAAAATTAGGCTCTGGACTGGGGGCTGCAAGCTCTGTGGTAGCTTTTCAGTGAGAGGGGCTAATGGAAGAGCAAGAAGAGTGGACAAGGGTCGTTATTATCATCAAAGCCCCCATATGGTGATACAGCTTCTCTCTGGTTTGAATTTGTGCTGTTTCTAAACTGTACAGTAGCTGTTATAACACTTGACAGTTGTAGTTCCAGAACTTTACCACTGATGAAGCCTGCTGAGAAATAAAACCCGTAATAACAGTCTTAGAAGCAGAGACCAAGACTGGACAGCTGTTTATCACATGGAGGCTGTCTGCATAAACACTGTTACCCATAACAAGTCTCTCTGAAGGGCAGTGGTTTGTTTTCAGATTCTGAAAGAACAAAGAGAAGAAACATTGTGGTGGGAATAAGATTCATCCCTGAGAATTTTGTTACAAAAACTTATTTCAAGCTTGGTTAAAGAAATCTTTGTGAGCCCAGATAAAAAATATTTAATAGGAGATAGCTTTGAAGATTAGATCTCAAAAACTGAGACATGAAGGGTTGTCGCAAGCAGGGGGTTCCAGATGGCTTCTGGGACTCCCAGATACCACCAAAGACCATGCAGCTCAACTGCTGTGATGAGAAGCCACAGAAGAATTTGCAGGTGTGTTGCATTTAGTAGCTTGTGAAACATATGCTGGCAAGTTTGAAATTTAGCAGTTTCAAGCTTGTGTGTGTTGAGGTCTGTGTAAACATTCACTGTGTTTCAAACCTGGGTAGCTTTCTAGTTTGCTTTAGTTCTGGAATGTATTAAAAATGTCCTGCCCTTCCTAAAGAGTATCCTTCAAGCTCTTTGCAAATTCTGAGAATTATAGCTCATAGACTTCTCTGTCCTTTTGGTTTTTTATTTTTTTTTTTAATATTGTCTGTTGAATAAGTTCTCTTTACAGGTAACTGAAGTAGCTACTGTTAGTGCACAGAGGTTTTATTCTGTTTATGTAAGGTCTTGTATACACAACCTCTGCCTGTCGTATCTCACTTAGTGATTTCTTTGAGGTCACTGATCTCCACCTGTAGACAATACAGAGAGGCACCTGCAGAGAGTGATTTTGCTCAAAAGTGGTTACATCATGCCATGTGGAAGACTGCAGCCAATTTTGCTCTCATTTTTAATCAGATTAAGTGAAGGATGTGGTCTTGGTCTCTCCAGTCCCTGTGCTGTTTTGCATGGGCACAATTATGTCTGTAGTCAAAATGTGTAGAAGGGTGAATTTATCAGTCCTAACTACTGTGTGTGTATGGGAGAGTGTGATCACTTCTGTAGGGGTCATATTCAGAGTGAGCTGGCACTCTTCTAGGTATGCCAAGCCCAGACATGGTCCCATTGCTCCACCTTCCATTTTGTTTTGTTGGAGTGTTGCACATAAGCAAGGGACAGACAGAATTTGCTACTGCTGATTAGTATGCTATATATATATATGTCACATATACATATGAGTACGTGCATGAGCAGTGACTACAGAACAGCTGAGAGATGTTTTTTCTGTCCCATACTCCTCAGATGACACAGTTGTCCATGTCAGCAGTCCCCACTGTCTCACAGAAACATTAGACTTCTCTTTGTGTTTCTGCTTTAGAGACAACAGGACTCGGTTTGACATCAGGAGGAGTCAGGAAAAATACCCTGGACTGTCTGTTTGACATGGGGATGGCTCAGCTGAAGACCTTTCCTTTCTTGTAAGGTGTCTTAGAAGCCACCAGGTGTTAGAAAGCCTGGCAGCAGTAGCTGGGGTACATGAAATGACTTTAAGAACACGAACAGAGAGCGTGGCAGGGACTGCAAACATTGTACCCTTGGTCAGAATAGACATCCTGCTTTATGGAGGCTCTAAATCCTGCTTTAGGGACATTGAGGGAGGGCTTGAAGGAAGGAGTCCTGTGTCTACAGAAGAAGCAGTGTGGTGGTTAGGAGGCAAGATGGTGAGTTTGAACACATGAATTCACACCCTGTTGTATTGCAAAATACTGATATGACCTGGAGTGTACTTCTGTTGCTCAGTGTGTCTGCAAAACAGAACAAATTGTACTTCCTATGCCCAGGTCCTGAAAGCTGCATGTGGTAGAAGATGCCTGGGTATTTTAAGGTCAATACCTTAGAAGAATTCTTATGTGGCTTTCCTGTACACTTCAGTAATTATAACATGTAAAGTATCTGTGGAAAAGTCCTGTCTGTGGATTTGTAGTCCCAGAATAAAGGGTCCTTTACCAGGTGTGCAATGCTAATTGACATAGAGTTGAGATATTTGCTTTATTTTGGTTCTGCAGAAATAGGTGCTAGGTGATAAATCACAGAATCAGCCCCCATTAGCTCAAACAGCAGCAGTTTATATACAGTACAAATAACAAAGAAATTGTGTGATTGGTTACATGATTTTACATCACACATCTTTGTATGCATGCTCCATCAATTACCTAATTCATTATACTAAGGTGGCCCTACATTTACAGATAACCTCTCCTACTGGAGGTGTGGTTTTTCATACTTAAATCACCTCAGGTTATGGCAGGGGACACCTCAATGCTTTGATCTTTGTCCAAATCTTTCTCTGGTTTATGAAAAAAAGCCATAATGAGGCATTATCTACAAAAGTTGGCAGAATTGTACTGTCTTCAGGAAATGCTCTAAATCATTGTGTCTTGTTTCTGATTATTTTACCTTCGAGGTCATCCCATCCTTTAGTCTCAAGGGCCTTCCATTTCTTGTTATTCTGGTTTCAGACCAGGTCTTTGTATGCTTATCAGCCTGCAAGTTTTTAACTTCTGACATCAGATTGACCTCTGTTTTGCAAGAAGGTTTCTCTGTAGTAACAGTGCTCTCTGTTGCCACTGCCTCTGAGAAGTTTCTGGACTACTGAAATGTCCCTTTTTATGTTTTCCCTTCTTTTTTTCTGGCCTTTATTTCCCAGTCCAGGCATCTAAGAAGCTGCATGTGAGTGTTCTGGGATCCTGATGACTTGCTGGTCTGGGTGCCACTCTTACGGCCCTTCTTCTGCCATGTGTTCATTCAGGTGCTTCCACCCTCACCATTGCCCTACATCCTCCATCCATACTGACCCATTGTGGTCCTCTGCAAGTGCAGCTCTCAAAGTTACTGCCTGGATTTGTCAGTAGTCAGTAAGTGTGGCAGGGACAGGGACCTGAAGTGCACAGCCAGCCATCCAAGTGGAAGAGCCAAGCACAGCTCTAGCAGTTATAACCCTTTTTGCTTTGGGACTGGCATCCCCCTGCCTGAGAGTTTTGGGAGCATCACTCAGTCCTTCTGGGGTCACAGTCTTGGATGGATAGAAGAGTACGTGCAGAGATTGCCTGAGGGAGGGAGTGTTTTACAGCTCCTGTGATTTCTCTCACATGGCTGTCAGAGATGTACAAAGGCTGGAGAATTAGTTCTGCATCTAGCACAGGCTCTTAATTGTCTCAACAGGAGAGACAGCCACATCAAAGAGAGAGTGTCAGCCTTACGATAACGAGGTGTCAAGTGCTACCCTCGGGTGGTAGAACAGCCTAGCTGTGGTCACTCAAGCTGTACAGCAGCAAAGAGCTGGGGACCTGGGAAGAAAGCCTGGGTTTGATCCAAATTAAAAACACTTTCTTGTATTATTTTTGAGGGATTATTTTTAACTCGGACAGATTTGCTGATCCACCTTACTGCGAGCCTCCAAAGTAACTTTTCTGGGACACTTTCAGGGAGATGTGTTATGAGATCAAAGGAGAGCTTCAGGGAGATACTGTGAGATCAAGAGGCCAGGAACTGGAAGCTCCTCAAGCCAACTTTGGCATTGAAGGAATGGTGCATGGAAGCACACCCTCACCTACCACAGCGAGGCAAAGACAAGAGATGGCTCTTCAGGTTGAGGTTACAGGAGTTTAGATGGGCCCCATTCCCTGAGCAATGAAAACACAGCCAGATCTGGTGTGGAACGTTGTGTTGCTAGTTCCAATCCTGCTGTGTGACTGTGTTAAAGAGCAGATATGATCTCTGAAAGAAAGTGATTGGGAAAGACAGGGGGATGGAGGGAGGTCTGTTATCTTCCTGCACGGGTAAGACTGCTGAAACTCAGGTTTGTCAGTGTGAAGCCCCCCAACCCCTTGTGAGCACCAGGAGTGGTTCAAGTTCTGATTTCACATCTCTTGGGTGTGTTTCCAAGCCCACTCATACCTGTGAAAAGACTGTCCTGACACCAGTGGGGTTTGGCTGTGGCCAGAAGCTGGCTGCAGGACCACACTGTACTCAGGCTGCATTAAGTCCCTGCTCAGCCTGTCTCATTTCCACCGTTGTTATTTTGATAATGTGACGGGTGCTGGTTAGATGGATTTGTGACTCTGAATCCTCTCTTGACACAAAGCACCGTGTGAAGAGCTTGGCATTTAGTTAGTAATGACCACATGCAGACACTGCAAAGGTTTATTTTTGCCTGCTGAAGAGTGTTGTATGAGGCCAAGAAACAGAATATGTGAGAGCTGCCTTTGAGACAAGGGGAGTTACTCCTTCTTTTCCTCTACCTTTTGCTGTCTTTGCTGCTTTTCAGTGGTGCCTGCTCTATGTTGAGCAGTCCTGCTCATGTGGATGGCTTTCTGCAGGAGAGGGACAGCTTAGCATATATTGGGCTCCAGGTGCTCCAGGTCTATTCACACCCATCCCACAGAACGACCCTTCTCCTCCTCCTCACACCCATCAGAAGCCACGTGCCCATGACACGAAGGGGCAGAGGCTGATTTTGCCCTGATTTGTGTGTGGCTGCTGACCCTACATGCAGCACGTGATGTGAGGCATCAGCACTGCTCCTGAGAAGTATGTGTGCACCTTCCTCTGACACACCCTGAGGAAACATGATGATTGCCTCTGCTGCACGTAGCAGACCCACCACCTGTCCTCTGTATCTGATCTTTCACTTTGCTCTTAGTTCAGCGTTTCTCAATTTAGTGTCCTGGCACCCTCAGGATAGCCTGTGATATTTTAGCTCCAATGCATGTTCCAACCTGTGCTTCTTCCACAGGCAGAAACACCCCTTTCCTTGGGGGACTGTAAATGTCATGTGGCTACTCAGCATTATGGAAAAAATGGAAGCTCCAGAATAATGTTTCCAAATGTTTTTCAAGGCAATCCTGTTGTTGTGGCAAATGTCCAGTAACAACCACAAATGGATGTGTCTTTAACAGTGGGGAGCTTTCGCCCTTCTTAACCTTACAGTATTAAAAGCATCCTGGACAGTGTGGATAAGATTTGTTCCCTTGTGATGGCTGCTGAGTGACAGGTGTGACTTGAGGAGTGGGCTATTGGCCACTGTGTCACAGAGCTGGGTCCTGTAGCTGATGCAAACATGTCTCATGGTTGCTGATGTCAGTGGAAACCTCCATTGTGGGCTAAGCAGAGGCCAGCCTTGATTTTGGGTGAGTCAGTGGGATGTATCTCAGCACCAGGACATTTGTGTTGCATCACAGGATGGTCAGTGTCCAGAGCTGACAATGTCTGGGCCAGACAGAGGATCACAGAGCCACCCCCTGTATTGCCCAGACCAAGTGCTCTCTCTGCTCAAGCTTACCTCAGGCAGAGATCATTCTCAGCTGGAATGATTTCAGAGCAGAAGAGCACAGTGTGCTTTCTGATACCCTCCACTCCTCTGTGCAAGAGAGTCAAGGCTGCGACTGGGCTTTGCACTTAAGCACCGAAAGCTTTGCAGGACATGTGGGGGAATATCAGCCTTCAGGATATGTCTGGATAGCTCAGTGCCCACTGACCAGAAAAACTCCAGAAAGATGTGTGAGAAAACATGTACATGTTGTATGAGCTCTCAGAGACTAGACAGTCATAAAATAGTGATTGGCTACTTTCTGTGTAAAACCAGAGGCTAAAGCCACAGCAGATCCTTTGAGGCTGGTTGGGTCTCATCTCTTATGCAAAGGTCATAGTTTCATGGCAGCATCCAGACAATGGGAGCCCCAACTTGCTTCTGCCCTATACTGTCCTTTCCCTTGGATATGTTTAAATCTTATTTTTATATGCTGACCCCAGTCAGCTGGTTCAAGTTAAATACTGTTCCTTGTTTCCAGGTTGCTTTTGACCTGGGTCAGATCCTCAAGCCAGTAGAGAGCAGCAGCCCAGATATCAGCAGCAGGACAGGGAAGGTGGAGGCCAGAGCATGAGAGGGAGTGGGACATCTGCCTTCAGCAGAAGCACTGGTTTATACTGTTTTAAAATGACTGTGAAACTATGGAAGAGCTCTCTGTGTCTACACTGCAAGATAATAACAACCAAAGAAGTCACACAGAGCTCAACCCTTTTTTTTCTTCAAAAGCTTTTTTTATCTGGAGTCATTAATGCTGCTGTGAGGGTGAAATTGGAAGGCTCAAACTAGAAATTATTTCTTGGCTGTTTCCTGGAACACAGGCTGTCCACAAGATGAAACTGTAAAGTTATGCTTTTATAAACAGCTGTGAGTCACCTGCATTGGCACTGAAGGGTGCAAAGCAATTCCCTTGGTTGCTTTAATTCTTACAGCAAATCCAGCAAAATATAGTCCCTGCAGGATTCTTCAGCATGTTCCTGATTTAGGAAGATCGGGGATCTGTGGATAATTTTCCTTTAGACCCTGTGTGAATGGCTGCAGCAGTGCTTGTGGAGGTCTCCATGTCCTGACACAAAGCCAGGCCCGTGGCAGTGCAGGCCCCAGGGCTGCACGCTGTGTTTGGTATCACACAGCCTCTTGCTCCGAGCTGCCCATCGCCTGCCCACGCTGCCTGGCCCCTCTGGTCAGGAGTTATTTCTGTTTAGTGATCTGAGAACGGAGCCAGGGAGCTGTCTGGAATCCCAGCCTTAACACCCATTAGGCACATAGCCTGGGGCGAGGCTCGTTCCTGAGCCTGTGCTCCCTGCTGGTGGGTAGAGACTGTCCTCCCTCAACGCACGTGAGGGCCGTGAAGTCCTCCCCAAAACGTCGCCCAGTGTTTTGTGGGGGGTGGTGGCTCTGCCTGGGGGGTTCCTAACGCTCGGCTCCTCTTCCAGCGTGCACGTGTTGCTCGGTGTGCCGACTCCTCAGAGGTGAGTGCTGGAGCTCCTGCACCCCGTCTGCGAGCGGGCTGCAGCTGTGTGTGTGCTGGGGCAGCTGCTGCCCTGCTCCTCACCTTACTGACCCGCAGGGCCCGGGCCTGGGGGTGTCTCTGGAGAAAAGCCCCCGTCCTCTCTGATGTGGAGGGTGTGCCGCTGTCCTGGCTGCACCAGTGTGACTCCTCCGCCCCACGTCCCCCAGCACCGGTGAAAAACCACTGGGGACACAGGCAGGGCAGGCACCCTCGCCCTCAGCCCTGTGGTGCTCTGTTCCCTAAGCACGGGCACGTGTTTCTCCGGACACATGTTTGGGATGAGCAGGGTATATGGCAAAGCCCAGTAGCAGACCCTGACACGACAAAAGAAGGCTGAACAGACTCTCCTGCCTCAGTCAGTGCTAGAGCCCTTTTCTGCCAAATGTCCCCACTGTCCTCAGCGTTCATTGTGTTTACAAACAAGAGTGTAGTGAACAGTCTAGCTGCTGGTGGTCTTTCAGTGCTGTGCCAGTGAGTCTGGTTGCTAAGAGCTGAGCTGTGTCACTTCTGCAGTTGTGCCAGGGGCAGATGAAAGAAGGAGGCCTCTGATTTGGGCATGCCGGAGGATGGGGCTGTCTAGGGAGAAAGAAGAAATCCAGCCTGGCAGTGTCTCTTGTTGATGAAAAGACCTTCATAATACCTCTGCTCTTCATCTCATGTGCTTTTTGTTTGTTTTGCACACTGCAATCCACCTGGGGACAGCAGCAGAGGGACTGAAGGATGACATCCACAGCCTCCCCATGCCTGGCACCCACTGTGCCATGCAGCCCTGTGCTGCATCTGTGCTTGCAGGCTGGTGATCCTGGCCTGACACTGTCTCCTTGCACACTGCATAGGTCCCAAACCAACCCTTATGTTTGGTGTCTCACCCTCCCTGTTGTCCTTTTCCGGTTCACTAGCACATTTGGGGTGAGTATGCCACCGTGCAGGAGAATGAAGCCCATTTAAGGTGGTATCTGTTTAAGCAATCATGAAACACTTGTATTCACAGTGTGTTTTATTAGCACTCTTCTAAGTTTAGGCGAAACCAATTTTATGGATTTGACTTCAAAGTATTACTTATAGAAAGAATCACTGAATCCTTAAGTGCTTAATAGTCATGAATTAAGCTTAGGAAAGCCATTTAATGATGGTAAAGCAGTAATCAATCCAATATGTGTACAAATTGGGCCCAAAGTCACGTTGATCTGGTTTAAATTGAGTGCCCTGTGTTTCAGATTGGCTGGCCTTACTATTTCCTCCCCTCCCCGACGTAATTCAGTCCCTTAGCCCATGTCAGCAGGGACACACTGAGGCTCTATCTCATAGAGGGTTCGTTCTGTCGCCGCAGGCTGCCCTTTCTCTGTCACCAAGGCAATGGAAGCATTAATGCACTCTGAGGCACTTGCCCGCCGTTTAAAATGCTCCTTTGTAAGCTTGGGTAGCTTGGAGAGCTGACTACATAATGCACAGACATTTTTTCAGCACCACAAAAAGCAGGGGAAAGAAAGAGGCTGAGTTGGTCTAGCTAAGAAGTGAGTTGTCCTGAACTCTTGGCCCTCATCTTTTCTTCCTTGGTGCAAACTTTTGTGTTGCCAGTTTCAGAGTGCCATCATTAACAGTACTCCTTTCCAAGGAGTTTATACTCTAAATGGGCAGACAGTCAAGCCTTACCTCAAGCAGAAGTGTTGAAGGCTGTTAGAGAGCCACGATGCAGCCTTTTGGCAGGAGCAGTTCCCTTCATGCCCTTGCAGGTGAAACTCAATTGTTTCTCTCACTGGCTGACTCACAGAAGCCCCCCACGGCTCTTAGGAGAGCACGGGCTGGTAGGAGCAAAAGTCTGCCTGTCCTGCTCCCTCAGTGGTATCCTGAGAGAACCACCAGACAAGATAAAACCAGTTTGGGCCAAAGCATGGTGGTTTCATGAGGGTATGACCTGCAGGGGCCACGGGGACGTGCATTTATGCACCAAGCAGGCTGAGTGGAGCGTAAGCTCGCCCTGTCCAGGGGCAGATCCATCACTGTCAGCCGTGGTGGGCTCCTCTGCCAGTGAAGCTCTTTGCCTCAGAGAAGAGCTCTTCCCTGCACACTGGGCTCACTCCAGCTGGCCTCACGCTCCGCACATGACGGAGCATTGACGCAGCTGAGGACATTCATCTCCTTTGCTCTGGGCAGCATCACTAGATGTGAGTGTGTTCCACTATATATACTCCATTGTGTCTTCTTGACACCTTCTGTGCCAGCTCCTCTTGCTCGTGTTCAGTGGCAGGGCTTTGCTGGCAAAACTCCTTCTAGGCCTTTAGACAAATTTCTGATTTATCTCTTCTGTGCTTGCAGCCTGTGGAAAGGGAACAACGGGGCAATTACATAAGAGCAATTTTTCCCCTTCAGGAAGGACGGGGTGAAAATCTCCAGGGATATCTGTTTGTCTTTTGGCAGTGCCTGGTAAATGCTTAAACGCTGGTCAATATTAAGCAAGCTTGCTTGGAACTGGCATTTAAGAAGTAACAAATACTATGTTTGGTGGTATTCTCTTGACTAACATCCCTTAGGTGGTGTTGTGAAGACCTGTGGCATGGCTGAGAAGGAGAAACAGTTTTAATCCTTGCAGAAAATAGTCTAGCAGGTATTGAATTACCAGCTGTATACAAGGAGAACTGCTGTGTCTGCATGTATTTGAGGGGGCATTTGACACTAAAATGCTGATTAGGCAACGTAGGAAATGTGTGAGGACATTAGTGAAGAACAGGACTGGGTTCTGAGGGTGCACCCCAGGGCTGTGCTCCACAGCGGTGACTGGCTGAGTGACGGATGCCTTAGCAACTACAGCTCAGCAACAGCTGACAGTCAGCCTAGCCAGCACCTTCAGTCAGCCCCCCACAAGGTGTTGCAGCATAAAGCCAGCCCCTGGAGTTTTCCCAATAAAATGCTGGATCTCCTCCTGGATGTGGCTGTCACCCTGAAGACAAGGTGGCAGATCACGCACAATCAGCAGTATAGGCCCTTAATGGGACAATCACTTAACTGCGTTTTAAACTAATCACCTTAATGATATAGTAGATGCATCCAATCTCTTTGTGGTATGCTACAAAGTGCACATGAGATTATTACAGTGAAAACTACTCTTAAAAACCTAATTGACTTTGTAAATGTCAATATATCTGTTCAACTAGTTCAGTTGAATGAGGTAGGTGGTTTCATTTTTTTTTGTTCTTAGCCAGTTTTGCTTCCAGCTCTTGTGCTGGGGATTTTTTTTTAATCTTTCTCTCATTGAACTTAAAAAGAAACAGCACCTTTCCATTGCTCTAGGCGTTTTGTTCCCTAAAATTCCCCTTTACTAAATGTCGAATCAAATCTTCACAGGGATGATTTGCATCACTTTGCACTGGTACCCCTGAATGGCACCTTTGGAGTTTCTCTGGTTATTGAAAAATACTTTCATACTTATTTTGATTATTTCAGAGAAGGAAATATTTTCACAGAAAATCAGTGGGTTCCTTAAGTACATTTGCATTTCACCAACAGAAGGTTAAAACATTAATTGTTGTTTAATAAACTCCAGTTGAGCCGCAGATATTATGAAAACAAAGACGAAGTTTGCTGTGCTCTGAAACAATGTTCCTTCCCCCTACACATCCAAATGCTTCCCCCTAACAGTTTATTCTTTCCTTTTCTCTATGTAAATATTATGGGACTCTGATGTAAGTGTTACAAATTGCATGAGTTTTCTTCTGAGGTGTTTGGAATAGACTAGCACCTAACAACGTAATCATTTGTGGGATGTGTTTTCATTAACGGATGCCTTTGTTGATGTGATTAGACTTGTTTGCCTTGGTTGCATTTGACTTCAGCTTTGGAAAGGATGGCTGCCTCTGTTTTGTGGCTCCTGGGCTAAGTGTGCTGGTGGAGTTGGCTGCTCCTGACTTCTTGGTTTGGTGATGAAAACTGTTGGGGAGGTACATGACTCGGGTCAATGTCTTTTGGAAATGATGGCAAATTTATCTTTGTTGCAGGGAAAAGAAGCTGATCACCATCGTATAACAAATATCTGTTCTCTTGCTCTTATTAAGCTGTGTGCAAACCTCCTGATAAGAATTATCCCCTGGAAAGGCTTAGCTTTGGCTTGACTTTAGCTTCCATTACAGTAATACAACACCTTGTCCTGGCTTGTGTGGTCTGTGACTGTGGTTTTCCCCGTTGCTCCCAAGGAATTACTGTGATGAGGGGAAGAAGTATTGTGCCCAGCAAAATAAGGGAGGGTCCAGCTTCTCTCAAAGGAATTGGGGAGCCTGATTCCCACTGTAACTATATTTAAGTGTCCAAATTAAGGAAGATCTAGATGAAAATCATTTGCTCACCTGTAGTTACAGTGGGCCAGGTCCTGACCTCTCTTGTACTCATGAAAATCCACGGGACATAGTTCAGATTTCCACAGCAGCACAGACCAGAGCTTGAATCAAAGCGATTGTTGAAAAAACCAGCCTGCTACCAAATCCTTTTTGTGCTGTAGAAAGAGTTTTGCAGGTGAGATTTTTTTAGCTCATGTAGAATCACAGAGATTAAAGATGATGGCAGTCTGGCCCTACGTCCCCTCGTCTGGGCTGGGTGGTTCCCTGGGGTGCATTTAATGGCTTAGATCCCAACCCTGTCTACTTTAACTTGGAACATGCCCAGCTTCAGGGCTTCCCACACAACGTGTTGGTTGTGTCGGTTCCCTTTGAAGGAATTAGGACAGGATGATAGGAACTGGAATTAAGGGATCCCTTTCCTTAAACTGTTCACAGGCAGATTCTGTTTGGCCTCGTGAAGAGAGGAGTGTAATCTGGTCTGGGGACCAAAAAGACATCTGCAAGAGGCAGGAACAGCTTTTCCCCTGTAAACAACCTTTTCCCCTTTTTCCCCTGGCACAGCAGTGGATTTCCCATCTCTGCAGCAGTTCTGCCCCTCCACACAAAGGTGTGGAGCCATAAATGAAAGAGGTGGAGACACCCAAAACACAGCCCGCTCTGAGACGGGGAATCAGAGTCACCCAAAGAAGGGAGGGCCAGGGGAAAGGTCCATGTTTTTACACAGCCACCTCCTGGCTATGACATGGTCTCTGGGGCTGTCAGCTGCTTCCCTGGAGCAGCACAAACTGCTGGCTCTGCCACTCTGGGGACATCTGATAGGGACCTGAGGCCGCACAGTTTCACATCCTAAAGCTTACTCCTGCAAACACACAGGAGGTCACCTGAGGCCATGTACCATCTTCGAGAAGCATGTGCCAGCCCTGACAACATGTTCTGCTCCTCAGTCTTCCCCTTCTCCAGAAACAAACCTTGGTGTCCCAGAACCCATCCATTAATTTTAAGCCTCCATCTCCTTTCTCACTAATTCCTCACATGTATGCTTATTATTCTGGTTAATCCCCTGCTTTACATTTTTTCTGCAAAGGACTCACTTTTGGTGTAGGAAAATTAGTTTTTTATCCTGTCATCACCCTGTTCACAATAAAAAAGCAGCTTCAGAGTTGGTGCTTACGCAGCAACCACCCTTTGGAGATGAGTTGCCTCCAATCCCACCACCATGTAATGCTCCCACAAATGCAAGACAAAGTGTGGCACCCCAGATCAACGTGAGGTTGGGATTGCCTACAATACAGATGTCCCCCCAGAGGCAGGATGGGCAGGGAATCCTCCATTCTTGCTCCAAGTCTTAAAGGAAGGGCCCTGTGTATTCAAGATCTTCTCTCATCAGTGGTCAGAAGTGTAGTGGAATGGCCTGGGACAGACCTGCCTCTTCACTTTTCCAGTTCAGTGAGGCTGAAGCAAAACTGATTCCTGTTTGGATGGTTTTCAGTGCCTTGTTCACAATGAGATGGAGCAGGGGAGGAGAGGGCGTCATCCCAACTTCCAGTGGGCTTTAAAGTCCTCCCTGCTGTGGGGGTCAAAGCAGTATGTGCCAGCTTGGAGGCCAAGCTCTCCTTTTGTGGAGGCAGCTCCAGGACGTGGGTGTGACCCTGAGGTTGATGGGAGAGCAGAGCCTGCAGGAGGCTGTGTGGGTGGCCCAGCACCCAGCTGGAGAGAGAGAAGAATGGTGGGGAGAGCAGTGTATGCTGGGAAAACATGGAACGCTCTAAGTCTGGTTCTCCAGCACCTCTCCATCCTGACCCATTCGAAGTCCCCTTTTCCCTGAGGAAAGCCTTTGCCTCCTCCCAGCAGCACAGGGCTGGAGGTGTGTTGTTGGGCCACTGTGCAAGCGTCAGTGAGGAAGCTGAGAGAAGTCCTGACCCACTTTTACTGTCTGGAAACGAAGTGCCTAAGGCCAGCCTGTGGTCCACATCTGAGGGACCTCTGGGGAAGAGGAGAGCTAGGAGCAGTCACGTAAATTGTTGTTGGGGGCAGTACTTGGCCTCCAGGCTGCAGATTTGGGCATGCTTGGTTCAGGCTTTGCTGAACAAACAACATTTAAAACAAACTTGACTCCAGTTTTTGTTGGTTTAAAGAGATGCCAAGGACCAGCTTCCTCATCCAAGATGGCCTAAGCTAGGCTCCTCCTGGGTAGCTCACTTCACAAGTAGAAAGACGAAATGGTAATTAAAATAAAATGTCCCTGTACTGTTTTGCCATGTGGCCTGGAGAACGTTTAATTCTCCCCACAGTGTAGTCTTTGCACTGCAGCCATATCTAGGCAAGCCCCTCCCTCGTTCAGCGTTGTCCCAGCACTCGATGCAGTGTGACCATCAGCATTTTCAGTACAGCTGGGGAAGTGTCAACTTCCAGCTCCTCCTGGGACCCTGCGGCGCTGTCCTGCAGCCTGCCCGTGCCAAGGCTGCCGAAGGGGTAACACCAGGGGGTCAGTGGCCAGGGGTTGGTGTGCTCCGTTCTGTCCAGCAGCAGCTGCACCCTGAGGGCTGAGCACGGGGGCTGAGAGCAGTTGGCTGCTGGCTGGAATTTGGCACTGGAGACAGCCCCAGTGACCTGCTCATCACTTGTGGTGTTGCTGTAGCCAAACCGTTTCTCCTATGTCTCTCTGCTACTCATCTGAAAGAGCTGTTGGAGAATTCAGTTCTTTTGTGCTTTACAAATCTAAATAGATCAATAATTATTAGATCTTCAAGAGTCCTCTTTGGTTTTAGTCTTTGGTTCAGCCAGAGTCTTACAGTCAGGCTGAGACAAGAAGCACAGAGCATTATTTCTGTGTATTTCATACAACAGTCTAAATACAGAGTCCATAATTGTGATTGATGCCATCTGAACAGCAAACATTTCCACTCCCTATGTGTTTCAGAATGAAAGAAGCCTGGCTGTCAGTTAAGCAGGGCATGCCCCAGCCCTGCTGCTCCCAGACTGTGGAGATCTGCAGGGAGCTGGGTCACGCTGGGTGTCCGTTTCTGTGCCCCTTGCTCTGCACTGTCTGTCGGCAATGCCATCCTGCTCCACTGTCTGCATTCAAGGCAGCAAATGGATTGGGTTGTGCAGTGTGACCTGTCCCACAAAGAACATAAGTTATAAGGTTAAGAACCACCAAGGAGGCGTTAGTGGTCTGTAGTCATGGGGCAAAAGCTGCCTCCAGATGCATCAGTGGAGTTAGTGCTCTGTAAGATTTACTTCAGCTTCACGTCCGTTAGTGCTGATGTGCTTCATGTTTCTGCATCCCAGGCAGCTCTCCCCAGGGACTCATTTAGTGTCTTCTAGAGGACACTCCTGGAAGCAGTAGATGCAGGAACTGTGGATGGACTTAGTGATTCAAGAAATCAAGTGTTTTATTTATCCCTGAGCCAAACAAAAAAAAATCTCTTTCAAGAGCCAATCTCTAGAATATCAGAGACTGTGAATGTAGTCTCAATTCCATGTAGAATAATACAAATAAAGCTTAGAATGGCTTCATAAACAAGAGCCTTTTGGTGTCTAACCCCACAGCTGCTATCACTAGAGTGTGATGTGTGAACCTTCTGTCTATTAATCCCTGGAAGATGCATGGCTTTGCAGTGATGTGGCATTTGGCAGAGTGAATCAAACCATCACTGATTTCCTCATCCTTTGTCTTCACGTTTAGACTGTAAATGGCCATGTTAAAAAGGTGTGGACAATAAGTATGAAAAGCCACCTGCAGCAAATTATGAAACAAAAGACTCTGTGTTCTCAGATGATGAAGAGAACGATTCATTGGACTGTGCATCCATGAGCAAAAGGCCCAAAAAGAAGGATCAACCCCTTGAGGTACTTCCATATTGTCAAGGCTCCTCTTTCTGTGGCATTCCAGCTGAATGAACATCTCTCTTTGGTCTAGAAACACTGTGTCCAAGCAACGCATTCCTGGTTTTTCATGGGTGGGTCTTGTTAGGGGTTTGCTCACTTTTCTGCATGTGCAGATTTCATGAAAGAAGTCTGGATTAGTGCCTGTGGAGATCATAGTTAGAGAGGGCTTAAGAGTTGCATCTGAACTGCAGAACTTGGACCTAGAGCGAAGCCACCTGCTAACATGGAGATAGTTGAGTGATAAGATCTGGATATCAACCACTAGTTGATTTTTCATATCTCTAGAGAAGAACATATCCTCATTGCCAAGGCACAATAGTTACCATGAGAGGCCAGCACGCACAGCCAGAGCACACCTGGTTTGGAGCCCAGTCCCTCTCACCTGAGTTCACACCTAGCCAAACCCTACCCAAACCATCAGCAGTTCTTCCTTCCCAACTTGAATAGGTTTTTGAATCAGGCACTGTATTAACAAGTGTGCTTTGAGATGCTTCATGGAAACAGAAGAACTCGAGATACAGATCTCATACCATGGTTTGCCAAAAGCAGTTTTAGCAACATTTGTTTATTTCCTGTGGAGGAAATAAAACCTCCATGGGAGATGTTACAGGGAAAGACTCCTTTCAGATCTGGGCAGGGGGGACAGAGCCACAGCCAGTGGTCAGGTCCAAGCTGGGAGTTGTCCACCATGGGGAGCAGGGTTTGTTCCACTCTCCCCTTGGCTCAGTATGAGGGGGCAGGAGTGGTGTGGTTTGGTTAGCAGGATGTCCTTCTGGGGGATTGTCTCACCTCTGGGAGTTCTCTCCAAAAGCTGGGTTTATGTGTTCTTACCACTGAAAGATGCAGCCTCTCTAGCTGCTCTCAGGGCTGTGTGGTGCCCTCCCAAAGGAGGATGAGCTGTTCATTCCTGGTTTAAGAGTCTT